TCACCGGAAGCACTTTTTCATCAAAAAAAGATGGCGGCGCCCAGCAAACCAGCGGCCCGGTAGGACTTGTTCCACGGACCGGTACCGGTCCGCGGACCGGTGGTTGGGGACCCCTGCTCTAAGGAGTTCAGTACATACCTAAACTGAGCACGTAGTCAGATCATCAAGAAGAAAAGCAGGACTTTTGCATGAAAAAAAGGACTTTTGCATGGAAAAATCTCATGTCACTGTCCTTCCACAATGTAATAAGAAAAAAAAAAGTTAATATTAAGTTATACAAACACCAGTAACTGATGGTTTTGAACAATGCATAGTCATCTTGAATAAAGGGGTTTATAAATTCATAAATATCACTCTTCGTAAATGTTTATCTTTACAGATCCTTATTTTATCCTAGCTGCTACCATAACTTAATCACTGCTTATTCTTTCAAATCTAATGGAATATTGAAAAGAAATGATATACAGTAAAGTGCATTTGGAACTCTTGTCAGTAGGGCAAGTGTCCCAAAACAGAATGGGAGCAAATTTGGTTCAGTGAGAGAATCTGATAAAACGTGTGAATCTGAGTATATGCCAATAAATAATGCAACATACAGAAATAATACATCAACCTTTTTCCTTTCATTTCACAACATTCCAAGCCATTTCTATAATTACAAAATTAGCCTAATAATTGAAACCTAAAATCAACGTTTAATTTTTTTTTCAATTTTGAGAAAAGTCAAAAAAGTTTCTAAGTAGAAATAAAAACTAAAACAGCCAATTTTGCCATCCCTTCTAACTCTCATCTTTACCATTCATTTTTCCACTGTGAGAAGTGTGTGTCTTTTCATCTTTGTAGTAATATTAAGATTCTTGCTGCTGTAAAAATAGATAATAAAATTCCAAATTTTCTTTCTAGTTGTTTATCCATCAAGCTTCTGTTTCACTTTATATTTATTTTAATAATCTTCTGAATTAAAGATTCAGTAACAGATTCAGAATAACAGGATGGGATTTTGGAAATCTATCTAAAGTTTTCAAACTTGGCAAGTTTAAGACTTGTGGACTTCAACTCCCAGAATTCCTGAGCTAACATAACTGGAGGAGGAATTCTCGGAGTTGAAGTCCCCAAATCGTAAAGCTGTCGAGTTTGAAGACCCCTGTAATCTAATCCAACCCCCTGCTCAACCCTATATCATTCCAGGCAAATGGCTTTCCAATCTCTTAAAAAGATCCAGTGGTGGAGAATTCACCACTTTTGGAAGCAGGCAGTAAAAATTCGATCCCAGAATTTTTTGTTTTTTGTTTATCACAGGTCCATCAGATATGATCAAATGTATCCTTTTTACAGTTGTACTTCCAACATTCCCTTATACATATTTGACTATTTCTAACAGTTCAATTTATTCTCATGCGTTCTTCCATCTACAGCTCTCACTGCATTCTGCAATTAATCTTCAAGTCATATAAAACATAAAGCTTATTCTCAACGTCAGCAACTGTAAGATGTGTAAACTCCGGCACTTAGAATTCCCCTGCTAGCATGCTGGGAGTTGAAGTCCACACATCTTACAGTTGCTGACGTTGAAAAACACCGAGCTAAACGTGTGAAGAAAAACGCCTCAAGGCTAAAACTTCTACATGAATAAGTGGGAAATTTCTACCCCAACTACATTTCCCGACTTGCATCGCAGCGGCGGGACGGGATGAGTAGTTCTGAAAGGCACCTGGCGGAAGCCTCTGAATGTTCTGTTTGCTGGGAGTTGTAGTCTTGCGAAGCTAGAGAAGGTTGATTGATGCGGGTGGAATCAACATAGGAACTGGCAAAACTCGGGAGTGCTTGGACCAGGAGGAATGGATAAATTAAAGCGAGTTCTCGGTGGGCAGGACGCGGAGGACCCTGGACCTTTGGCAGAAGTAAGCTTCTCTTTATTTCAACAGGTTAAGGCGATACCAAGTTATCACTTGCGTCGTCTTCTTCCGTTTAGGTTGTGTTTTCTTTGGATTTCTCCTTTGTCTGTTTCATCGTGTTTTGCTGCTCCTGTCCACCGCCAATGCTCCGTGTAGTCTCCCAAGTGAGCTCTTTCTGTCCACCCGCCTCCTCCTTTTCTTTTCCCAGAGATGTTTCGGGGTCTGTTTCTTACTTCTTGATACTGACAGCCTTTCTAATTAGGCTAGCAGCATATATGATTTACATTATTCCAGCGACTACAGTCGTTCTGGCTCAGTTTGGTGAAAGTTGTAATCTAAAACCTATTTACAGATGTCATTCTCTTCATTCTGCAAAGTCCTTGTGCTTTTAACTCTAGTGTGATCATCCTAATTTTGAATAAAGGCCCCGCGCCCCCCCCCCCAACACACACATTATGGCTGTATTAGCAGGATGTACTTGAGTCATTAATAGTCACCTTTTAGTCTACTATGCTGAGTAAACAGTTTCTCCGGTTAGTTTATGGTACTGTATAGTGTAAATCCAGAAAAATGTGAAGGAATCATGATTAGGGTAAACATGAGTAGTATGTGCACACCTTTCTGTCAGTGCTTGAGTATTTACTTGTTTTGTTATTACACTTCCAACATTTTTAGCTTTTGACTCTGTTTGTGTATGTGTGTGTTAGAAAAAGAAAGACAACAATTGTTGCTCCTTAGTTTTAGAAAATTTGCCATTTCTTCTTTGGTACTTTATTTTGGTGAAATGAGTATCTTTATACTTTCGTAAGTACTGAAAAAGTATAAACTCCCATTTTGATAGATATTATGGCTAGAGAATTAAAAAGAGTTTTTAATTTTTTACCACATTTAAAATATGTCTCAGATATACTAAAGAGGTATCTGAAGCACTAAAACAGGATAGGATCTCAGGGGACGAAATTATGAAAAGGTTGTACCAGTAACAAGCAAATCACTGAGCAGTATTGGCAAAGCACAAACACGTAGGAACAAACAAACAACAAAAGGCTTTGCAACTTAAATTGGTTATGAAAGTTATGGCTAAATTTGTGGTTTGATTACTCAGGGGAGTTAAAGCCAGTGTGGAGCATGGATTAACCAGTTTGACTGCCATTTGCAAAACCAGATTTGAGTCAGCCTTCAGCTTTGGAAGCATAGTAAATAGCTTTGGGCAGTCTTATATGAAGGGCCACAGATTTTTTCATGGCAGGAATTAGAAATGAGTAGTATTTAAAAAAAACACAACAGCTTTATTTTGGACTACTTCAAAATACTGTACATTTATACAGTACATTTATTTACTACATTATTAGATTTATATCCTACATATATATGTACATAAGTGATGTACACTGCTGCCTCCTGTTTCCCCCACTGCTCTGTCTGGAAGATATTTTATTTTTCAATTAAAAATGAGAAACTCCAAAAACTTATTTAGCAGGTAGCTTCTAGTATTATAAAAACATGGTTTTAAATTTAAGCTAAAAACTAAAACTAGCAGCGATTGGGCATAACATATAAGAAGTAAAATAGCAGAAAGAGAGTAATTTAATGAACGTTGGTACTGTATAAATGTTAAAATGTTAATCTGATAGCACATGAGAAAGCGAAAAGAAAGAAAATCCATGCAACAATGGAGAATATTTTAGAACTGAGAAAGTCACTAGTAAAAAAAACCTCAGCCAAATGTTACCACCCCTTAGTATGGATGAAACTTAAATGGAACCATTTTAATTTTAAAACTTTTTAAAGAAGAAGTTAGATACTTCCTTCTGTCACTAAGCTGCTAGGAAAAAAATACAAAGTAACAGCTACTATGTTGCTTGGCATTGATGTTTGCTTATTAGAAAACTAAACAGAATCTCCTTGTTAATGCATAGGAGGACTGGGCACTGTTGGCTGAACTGGGAAACTGAAAAACAATCCTGGAAGAGGACAGTGGCAAAACTGCATAATGCTGCCAAAAAAGCTTCATAGATGCATTCACCAAGAACTGAATTGATTTGTCAGCATCCTTATTTTACTTTTAATATTTCCAGATAGCTGATGCAACTTCCTTAAGCTGGAGTACCAGATTGAAGGCCTTCATAGCTTGTTTTATAATAGGAGTTGTGTGTTCTGTTATGGTAAGTCTTTAATTTAATTTCTTCTATTCTTATCATAAAATTCTGCTCTTTTGGTACACTTATCACCTGCAGTACCAATACTTATTTTCAACTGCTTGTTACTGTACATGGATATACCCTAACTGAAGTACAACATGTGTTTTGGCTGAATGGGTTTTGATTTATTCACCATATAATTTTATATGAGTTAAATAGTTGCAAACCCTATGCATGTGCATTGAGATATAAGAATTCATATACTTTCAACTTTTATAATTTAACTCAGAACAGCACAATTTCTAGGTTTAGGACTACCTGCAATCTCTTAAACAAGAATTCATCCAAAGGTTGCTGTGAAATCAGTTTAATCTGACAAAAGAGAAAAATAAGGATTGGATAACACTGACACACAGACACTTACACCGACATACCCACACACACTCGTATAACTTTTAGCCTTTTCATTAATTCATCCTACACCCTAGTTTCTATGCACTTACTCATGAGTTCCACTCTACAAAAGCAGACCACAATCAAATATATCCTTGATGTTTTTCTTATTTTTAATGCCAAATATCTTTTTTCTTTCTTTCCACTTTCATTTTATTCTTTTCTACATTCTAAACTACAATTTACCACATAAAATAGTCAAAACTTGCTTATTGAAACAAAAAATAAATTGTAGTTCAGTGAGTGTACTCACAAGTAAGTATACTCTGCAGTATACCATCTTGGCATATTTTTTCATAGCCAAACCATACCTTTTCATCTCTTGAAGAAAACTACATTAATTGCCAAATAATTGACTGTAAAGCATGAATCAAGGCTGCCTGCAGAATTCTTCTGTTCAGCCTCCTAGAGACTCTTTTCCATTTCCTCCCTGTTTGTGATTGCTGATCCATGGGGACACAATCCATGTACTCAAAGCCAAATTCCCTCTCCACCCAGTTGTACATGGATTATGCTGTTTTGGCTGAGCAAGGATTAACATTCAAGAAGTTTGAGTTTGTTATTAATATGAGACTTGCTCCCTCTGAAAACAGGACTGTACATTATATATAGTAATGTTGTCTGAAGTTGTTTTATTTGAATATTTAGTGCTTTAACAAACAGACTCTGAGAATCAATAAGAGAATTTGAATTTAATAACCCCTTATACTCTTACCTACAGGGCAATATAAACATTTTTTACAGACTTCTTATTTCGTTTTCTCTTTTTTAGGGTTCATTTCTGCTATGGGTTCCCAAGAAAGGACCTATCTTGTTTGGAGTATTTTACACCCTGGGGAATATCTCCTCCCTTGGAAGGTAAATGATTCTTATTTTGAATTTGTAGATGATAAAATACTTTCCAATGTGTTAATGAGATTAGCATTAATAATACTTGAAATACATAACTCTACATAATACATACTAATTTCTGCTGATTAAGTCAAAATATTTTTATTCTATATATTTGTTGAAGGTTACATTAACCTTTTTCTTCTGCAGTACCGTCTTTCTTATGGGACCAATGAAACAATTAAAAAGAATGTTTGAACCCACTCGTTTGATAGCTACAATTCTTATGCTTGTAAGTCATTTGTCTTTTTGATTTCTTAATGACTAATGAGAATGTTCAGTTCAATATTTTTTGTACAGAGGGGTACACATGGTTTCACAGATACTTTTTTCTTGCCTTTAAAAACCTACATTTCCAATTGCACTGCAGAAATTACAAATTTAAAAAAGAAGAGCTTTTGCAGAAAAAAGCAAAATTGTAGTATCCAATCTTTTAAGAGATTTATATATCTGACATATCTTCTCCTTAAAATGACAAAGTTCGCTCCATCATCCTATGATGCCAGCACCATGGTTCTTAGAAACTGATTTTTTTAAAAGTTCATCTGTTTGCCAAAAAAGTTTTCCCAATTCTTTTAAAGAAGTTTAGATAAATACCATTTTGCTTTTTAAAAATTGCTTTTGCTCATAACCATAAATGGATATAGATTACTGTAATTTGTTTGTTAATGGTTCTTAAGGGTTTTATAATAAGTGAGGCTTAATATAGGAAACTGCTTTTTTGTTGGAAAGAAATATACAAGATTTAGATATAAGATACACTCCAAACCACGGGAATACAATTATTAAGAATAACTGGGATCTTTTATTTAGAAGCTGAATTTGGGAAAGGCAATCTTCATTTAGTTCCATCTAAATTTCAGATGAAAAGTTATTCCAGGACCAGTGGTGGCAGCATCAAATCTTTTACATAGGGGAACAACTACCGTGTTTCTCCAACAATACGGTCTCCCCCAATAGGAAGTCCCAGCATGTTTTATCGGCATAAAATCAAATTAAGCCCCTCCCCCCAAATTAAGGCCTATATTAAACATGCGAAATGGGGGAGAATGGCAGGGGGACTTGCCATTACGAAGTACTTTTGTTGCATACCCGGATATGGTGCTGCCTGCGTTGACTTTGGCGTTGGTGGGGCACTTTGTATCAGGAGACCTTCCGCCACCGTTGCTTTCCCTTCTCCCTATGCTGCCGCGGCATTTAGAGCAACGCCGCGGCATTTGGTGCTGCCATGCGCGGCCAGCCAGGGCTCCTCCCTGCAACCGGAGCCTGGCAGAGACACTCGGCTTCAGGCACTCCTGTCGCTGCCTTCTCTTCACCTTCGAAGGCAAAGCCAATTCTTTTAAAAATGACGCTCTACTACCGGTACGAAAAAGCCTCCCCTGCTCAAGAGGGCAGCCCAACCCCAAGTGGGGAGGCGAATCTCTCAGGGCCGCAGCGCAGGATCGGCCCACCCCGGGAGAAGCGCCCAGCTGCCATCCCTGCCTGGCGCCAGGCAGAGCGCGAAGAGCTAAGCCTGGGGCACCCAGCGCAGCTGACAGGCAGGCCCTCCTGCCCGGCGGCGGAGCTCTCGCCAAGGCAGTGAGCACCTCCCTGCTGGGCCCTCCACTCATCCCGCCAGGGCCGCGCCAGAGCCGTGCGGGCTGTGCAGAGCTGGGAAAGCGAGCCACGGATGCGTGCCCGCCTGCCAAGTGAAAGAGCAGGGCTGACCCGAGCTTGGCTTCCTTCCCAAGTCCCTGCAGCCCGAACCCGAAGGGGCCGCCAAGAGAGGCCGCCCGAGGCAGTGATAGCGCCCACCCATCCGTGGATAGGGAGGCAAGGTGACAGCCTGCGCCGTGTCCTCCGAGCTGAGCCCCGCCGAGTCAGCGCCTCTGCCCGATGCACGTGCTGCTGCAGCAGCGTTTGGAGCTGCCGGCGCATTTGGAGATGCGTGGGGATGGGAACGGGCTGGGCGAGGGGTGGAAAGGATGGGTGGCTTCGGGCTGTTTCCACTGGATCCGCCGTCCAGGGAAGCAGTGCTGCCGTCGCCTTGCCTCCCTGTCCGCTATCACTGCCTCGGGCAGCCTCTCCCAGTGGCCCCTTCGGGTTCGGGCTGGAGGAACTTGGGAAGGAAGCCATTTGCAGATTCTCTGTTTGCTTCATCATTGTTATCTTTAAAATATACATATCATAAACATGAACCATTATAGAAAATTGGGATATAGGAATTGTTTTGCTTTGCAAATGGGAGGTTTTAGGTTGTTGCTTACTTTTTAATATTATTGTAAGTGGATCTCTATAGTATTGCTGCTATAGTATTTGGACATGGGTTTTAATCTTTCAAGAAAAGGCGCTGAAATATTTTACCCAGTATTTTATTTCTATTATGCCTTCTATCAATAGGTATAACTCCTAATTAATTTAGAACTTAGAAAGTACATACTTGCAAAAAAGAAAATTTAGATTTGGCCTGAACCAGAAACTTTTATGTTTTCTGGGGATAAAGAGCAATTACAAACACATCTGCTTTTTAATTATTTACTTCAAGATTAAGTACTTGTACTATAAGTACTATTATATAGTACTATTACTATTAAAGCAATGCTTATGTGCTTCCTTAAATAAATTAAATTTATTTAGTCCATTTATTTATTTATTTGTAGCTATTATGTTAGATAGCATTTCTTATTCAAATACTTTCTTTATATATTTTTTTAGTTATGCCTCATATTAACTCTATGTGCAGCTTTCTGGGTAAGTAATCAAATTTACAATGTGACTGATATGTCTTAATAAAATTATTTGTAAATAATTGCTGTCTAAGTTATGACTACCTTTTTCTTTTCAGTGGCATAATAAGGGGCTTACTATCCTCTTTTGCATTTTACAATTCTTTGCCTTGGCATGGTATGTATCACCTCATTTTTCTTGGCTTGTTTTCCTGTGTACATAAATTGTTGGCAATAATTGAAAGTTCTTGTGCATCTAGGAACAAAAGCCTTTCTTATATCTTCATAGACCTTGAATCCTTTTCACATAAAGTATACCATAATGAAGCCAAGATATTTTCTTCTAATTCCCTAGAAATTTTGAAGGCATTGCCCTAAGTATCTGTTTTCATTGGATTTCACATGAGAAAACATGTCCACATTTGCATATAATGCAAAGGCAGTGATTGGCAGGATTGCATGAACATTTGATCTCTTACCTGATGAGATTTGACTCACTGTGCATCTGACCTCCTGGTTATTCCCGGCATATAAATCTTAGTTCTAACGTTTTATTTAAAGAGTCGGTTTGAGATAATATTTAAAGGTAACAGGTTAGAAACCAGGAGACTACTCAGCCTTAGGTATAAAACCAGCTGGGTAACTTTGAGCAAGTCACTCTCTCTGTCACTTTCCACAATTTTAGAAAAAGGGCACTTCCAGAATCTTGGGGGGAAAATCCCTACATGGATTAGTCTATAGTTTGCTAATTTAAAATCTTCAGTGTTTTCTAGTAAAACAAATAGTTTGTGGGATTCAGAAGGGACCAAACTGAATAGTAAAGCAGATTTCAAATGAATATTTTAGCCATTTCCAAAAGCTCTTGCAGTAGTTAAAAGGACAATAACCTAGTTTAAAGTACGAAACTCATTTGCGCTCAGGATCTTCTTAAAAATCTATTTAAATCTTTATGTTACACTTAATCAAATTATGAGTTTTTCTTGTAAACAGGTCTCAGAATTAAACTTCTAGCTTAAATCCTCCAAATATTAGTAGACTAATAAGATAAAAACAACTCGATCCTAGCTAAAAGAGAAATCAGACTTCAATCAAGATATGAGGATCAAATAATTTTTCAATAAACTCAAACTTTTTTTAAAAAAAAATCACTTGAATACCAAAAAGTTTTCCAGTGATATCACTGAAAATCCAGAAGAATAACTTTTCCTTTTTCATATGAAAATGGTAATTTTAGCTAAAAAAAACAATGGGTCTGCCAATCCCATAAAACTTTCTCAATTGTTTATCAAGCTTCTTAAAATACTGAAGATAAATTAAAATTGGATTTCATACACCTGCATATGTATATATGAAAATCAGTTTAGATGCTGCATTCATTTTAACTTTTTTTTCCTGTAAACTCATTAGGATATGCAGCCATTCATACATATGATGACTTAAACATTTAATAATGTTTAGCTCATTAAAACAGTTTTTACTGGAATTAATATTTGAAGATATTTAAGAACATATGAATAATAAATCCATTCTTGTAGATTTCCTAAAATAATTTGGATTTGAATGAAAACATATTATTTATTTGGTTGAATAACCTACTAATTTAGCAATGTTGAACCAAATATATAATAGCAATCTATGTTTAATTCCTGTCACATTGATACCCTAGATCTTCTTTGATTATCTAATAAAATAGGTTATAATTCTATAATTCTCCATTCTGTGAATGGAGATGAAATACTTTCTTGACATAGTTTCTTATTCCCACTAACTCTCTTCGTCCAATATAATGAAAACTTCACATAATCTCTATAGAATGAAAATCCATGGCCAACATAGTTGGGGGCATATACCTACATTTCTGCTTACATGCAATGAAATATGATATTACAAATGTTCTGACAAAGTTCATATCTTAAATGCATAATATTTATCTCCTTGATCAGTCATGGCCAAAGTGACACAGAGAAAGTTCTGTTGCCCTTATTCTCTGGAATTTCATTCCTTGTCACTTGCTACTCTAGAAGTCAGCCTTATATAAATTGATTTTAAAATTAAAGCAATGCTTAGTCTTGGCACACTGCAGTGCAGTATATATCTGCTGCCAGCATCTGAGTTCAGCCATGTGTAATGTAGGGTGTTAACAATATTGAATTGTGAGAGGAAGGTGATTTTCTTTGTTCTTGCTAATGATTTGTGCTATTCCTTTTCTAGGTACAGCATTTCCTACATACCATTCGCAAGGTAATCTTGATTGCCCACATTTTGTTCATGGGACAAAATGGGACAAAAACACATTTCTTCCGTGATTCGTATGGGTTGGAAAGTCAAACTAACCTAATGAAAATCTGTTCTGTGTGAAATCCAAGAATTACTTATAAAAACTATATATTTCCTGGGAGGAGTGACCTACATGATTGTTTTAGTGAAATACAGCCATCAGTATAGAGAGTTACTTTATAAGTGGATGCTGAAAAGTTTTAATTTATATTATGACAAAGGAAGATGAAGAAAGGAAAGAATATGGAGACTTATAGGTATATGGTTAATTCAGAGAGTAGCATTGGACAACTCCAACTAGTTTGAAGAAAAAAAGAATTGACAAATATAGAATTATGATACTGAGGACTTTCTGTGTAATAAATATCAAGATTACTCATCAGGATTTCATGGGAGATATGAATTTTGAGATTGGATTAAAAGGAAATATAGGGAGAGTTTGTTTAGTGTGGTTGGTTTAAATAAGGTAGGTCCTAGATTCATATGCCACCTTAAGTCATAATATAGATCATTGGATTTGGGCTTAGCAAAACCCTGTTAGTTGTAGCTTTGCTAATGAACTATACCTAAAATATACTGGTGTTGTCTGAGTCTAGTCACCTTTAGCTTCATCAGCATTTCTTTCCACAGGGATGCTGTGAAAAAATGTTTTGCTGCATGCCTCACATAACAGGTAAACAAACAACCTAATAACTTAAAGAAGATACAGTGACTGGTACATTAGAGCAGGGGTCCCCAACCGCCGGTCCGCGGACCGGTACCGGGCCGTGGAACAAGTCTTACCGGGCCGCTGGTTGCTGGGCGCCGCCATATTTTTTTGGTAAAAAAGTGCTTCCGGTGAGCTTTTCCCGGTAGAAAGCTCACCGGAAGCACTTTTTCATCAAAAAAAGATGGCGGCACCCAGTTGATGCCGGTACCGGGCCGCGGCGCCCAGCTGATACCGGTACCGGGCCGCGGCGTCAAAAAGGTTGGGGATCCCTGCATTAGAGTAAAATGGTTATATCCCTATTTTTTAGCCATGTTCATCTTAATTTATAGTAAAGAAAAGGACTCTACAAACATTTGGAAGGGCCTTGGAGAGATGTTTCGACATTCCATGCAGCCTTTTTGAGGTAG